CCAAATTCAACAATTCTCTATTTTGAGCTGATTTTGTTACAGGACACAGAATATATGTACACATATTCACGATGAAACTATCTTCAGGTTCATTGATTTTGTAGTAAATCTCCGATTAACTACAGGATTAGTTGATGGCCAGGATTTCCTCAGTAAGGAAATGAAAGTCATAAGGTCCACAACAAGACTGAAATCTGATGCCCTGTGTAGATCTTGGACATAAATAGAACTTTTGTCGTGTCTGTACGATTTCTTCGTTTTCTACGTATGTGAGGCTCCCTCTTTGTTCTTGCTCACGTGGTGAGACACGGTACCTCTCTGATCCACAATACGCTGTGTGTTTCAGGCACCATTGTTGCTTGGCGACGTGGTCATCTTCTTCAGCCAGCGAGAGTGGGCTTTGCTGACTGTTGCTCAAAAGAGACTCTACAGGGAGGTGATGATGGAAATCTTTGGCAACCTGGATTTCATAGGTAAAAATAATATTTGATACACTGTGTTTCAAATCCTTGAAATGCCAAGAAAATGAATGCATGCATGTTACTTTTTCACTTTGGCAGAAGAATTGGAATACAAGTGCCAATGAAACAAACATGGTCACCTGCCTTTTAGCACTCACACATCAAAAAAGATTTCTTCATGGAAGCGTCTGTGTCTGATAGCTCCTTTTCTCTTCTGTCATTCAGTGAATTTAGATCTATGAACTTTCCTAAGTGTACACCCTAACTTTCTTGCATCCGAGTCAAGGAGTAGTCTTTGGGGACGTGGGGTAGAACACTCATTTGTTGCCCTTATGTGCTTGTGGTGGTGGTGGTCTTCTTCCAAATTGGATCCGACTGGCACAGGAGGAGATGGCCCCTCCTGCTCCACCACAGCATCTGGTGGATTCGAACCACGTGCTTTTGGTTTTGCAGCACAGGTTCTTGCCACTAGGCCGCCTAATTCTCTATGCCTCCTGTGTGGAGAAGCTCTGTGCAATGTTTACTATGCTGTGGGTTGTTTGCATATTGAGAAATAGACATCTTCGTGAACCAATTTGGGGGGAAAATGGCTTTTTTCTGGCTGGATGTTACAACGTAAGAGATCACTGGACACTCTTTTGTGCATCAGCAGGCCTGTCCTAGAGCCATTTTTCTGTTGTATGTGATGTATGTGCTGTGTAATGTTACGTGAATCCTTTGTGATATTATGTGTGCATTGTCATGTGTGTACTGTTCTGTGTGATGTTGTGTGTGCTCTGTGTGTGTCCTCTTTGTAATTATCCACCCAGAGGAAACTCATTTATATCATCATGTCTTTCATTTGTTTCAGAAGGGCTTTGTACTGAACAGTTTACCATCCAAGGTCAAAGTGTTGAAACTCAAAGAGGTGCCCACGTGACTGTTGGTTCAGAGCAGCCAGATGTCTGTCGCTTTCTTTTCTTTCTGTGTTGTCAAAATTATTGTTGTTATATAGCAGGCCTTGAACACGTGAGTGACGGAGACACATTATCCCCTGAATGTACTCAGCTGACATTCTTTGAGACTACCCACCCTTGGTCTTCCATGTTACGGAAAATGGTAAAACTGTGTGGCAAAGAACGTCTGCATAAAATCCGAGAAAACTACTGGAGGTGAGTATCATAAAAAAGAAAAAAAACAAACCATTAACAAAACACGAGAAATACTCCTGAGAAACATTGTGAGTTTGGAAACAGAAAGGTATCAGAAAGTGTAATTAAATTTCTCAGTGCAGTTCCAGGAATCATATTTTTGCTAAATGAAGTCATGTGAACCGTTGAGAAGTTAAACTCACACACCTTCATTGGGATTTATTGTGGGCCTACAGAAACACGCTCACTTACAGCTGTGTGATACTTATTTTTCCCAGCAGTCAAACAGTACATGAGGTGTGTGAAGGGATTGAAGACACGCACCCTGCGAACATGCGCGTCAGATTTCCAAGTTATTCCTGCAACCGTGTGGACGTAAACCTGTTGAGGACTGACCTTGGTGACACCGGCCATGAATGTAAGAAATGTGGCAAAGATTTCTGTACCTTCTCTTCATTTTGGATCCATGTGGTAGATGAACATGAACCTACAGAATGTGCTGAGACCTGCAGGAATCCTTTCCCTTTCATTTCCAAAGAAGCGTTTAATTTTCTAGAGACACTTTATGAGTGTATTGAAAGTGGGAAACCCTTTTTTTCTTCTGCCGCCCTTACTAGTACATCAGACAGCACAGTAAAGAGAAACTTTGACAGTGCAGAGAAGCCCTATAATGGTAAGGTATGTGGAAAATCTTTGCTTTCTCTGTCATACCTAAGGAGACATGAGAGAACACATACAGACGGGAAACCTTATGAGTGTCACCAGTGTGGGAAAACCTTTCAACGGCTTGCTTTTTTAACTCTGCATGCCAAAATTCACTCAGCGGAGAGACCTGTTCAATGTATGGAAAGTGAAAAGACCTTTTCACGGTCGGATCACCTCGTTAAACAAAGAGGAATTCACACAAGAGAAAGACAACATGAATGTAAGGAATGTGGGAAAGGATTTTTACGTTCCAGTCACCTCATTAGACATAAAAGAATTCATGGAGGACAGAGGCCCTATAAATGCAAGGAATGTTCGAAGACCTTTTGTCGCTTGTTTCATCTTAGAAGACACACAAGAACACACACAGGAGAGAAGCCTCATGGATGTAAAGAATGTGGGACACCATTCCCACGGTTAGTTGATCTCAAGGAACACAGAAAAGTTCACTCAGGGGAGACACCTTATCAGTGTACAGACGGTGGGAAAACCTTTTCTCAGTCAGGTAACCTCGCTTCACACAGAGCAGTCCACACAGGGGAGAGACCTTATGAATGTCAGGACTGTGGGAAAACATTTTCACGAGCAGATATCCTAACTGTACATAGAAGATTTCACACAGGAGAGAGACCTCATGAATGTCAGGACTGTGGGAAAACCTTTGTCCAATCCAGTGACCTCAATGTACATAGAAGAATTCACACAGGAGAGAGACCTTACGAATGTCAGGACTGTGGGAAAACATTTACCCGGTCAAGTCTGCTCGGGTTACATAGAAGAATTCACACAGGGGAGAGACCTTACGAATGTCAGGACTGTGGGAAAACATTTACCCAGTCAGATCTGCTCAGGTTACATAGAAGAATTCACACAGGGGAGAGACCTTACGAATGTCAGGACTGTGGGAAAACATTTTCACAATCAAGTCACCTCACTAGACATAGAAGACTTTACTCAAGAGAGAGACCTTATGAATGTCAGGAATGTGGGAAATCATTTTCAAAATCATGTGTGTTTAAAAAACATAGACGAGTCCACACAGAAGAGAGACCTTACGAATGTCAGGAATGTGGGAAGACATTTTCAGGATCAAGTCAGCTCACTGAACATAGAAGAAATCACAGAGGAGAGAGACCTTATGAATGTCAGGAAGCTGGGAAAGCATTTACCCAGTCACGTACGCTCAGGTTACATAGAAGAACTCACACAGGAGAAAGACCTTACGAATGTAAGGAATGTGGGGAAACATTTCCCCATTCACATCACCTCACTGAACATAGAAAAGTTCACACCGGTGACAGACCTTACGCGTGTCAGGACTGTGGGAAAGCCTTTGTACAATCATGTCACCTCACTGAACATAGAAGAATTCACACAGGAGAGAGACCTTACCAATGTCCGGACTGTGGGAAAACATTTTTACAATCAAGGCACCTCACGTCACATAGAAGAATTCACACAGGAGAGAGACCTTACCAATGTCAGGACTGTGGGAAAACATTTGCACAATCAAGTCAGCTTGCTGAACATAGAAGAGTTCACACAGAAGAGAGACCTTACGAATGTCAGCAATGTGGGAAAGCATTTCCACATTCAAGGTACCTCAAAATACATAGAAGAATTCACACAGGAGAGAGACCTTACGAATGTCAGGAATGTGGGAAAGCATTTTCAAATTCAAGTGCCCTCAGTGTACATAGAAGAGTTCACACAGGAGAGAGACCTTATAGGTGTCAGGACTGTGGGAAAACATTTCCACATTCAAGTACGCTCACTCGACATAGAAGAATTCACTCAGGAGAGAGACCATAGGTGTTGCAAACAGAGGGTAAAGTGTTTTTATCATTATTAATAATGAGACTGACTACCGGGAATAATACAGAACAGAGAGTGTGAACAACGGGGCTAGCAGTTCTCCACGGAAGCCCCTAAGTGAGGTGTCACTGAGTATTTATGGAGAATCACAGGGAAGGTGAAGAACGTAAAGTCATGAGGCAGTAGAAGACAAAAACAAAGGATCACGAGGAAGTCTTTTGCAGATAAGGCCAAGTTCCTCTCTATTCTTTTCTTTATGCTTAGGAAGGAGGGAGGGATTCAGTCAATACAAACTGAGAACAATGTTGACTTTTTTTAAATTTCTTATCACTTGCTGTGTGCTGATCCTACTGGCCCAGGAGGAGCTTCCCCTCCTTCTCCAGCAGAGCCTCTGGTGGATTCGAACTGTGGGCCTTTGGGAGTGCAGCGCAACTTCTTGCCACTAGGCCACCCGAGCTCCCTCCGTGTTGACTCTTAAGGAATGCCTTGGTGCCACAGGGTGAATTCAAGCTTCTGTTAATCTCTCTCCTGATACAACATGTAGTTTATTATATTCTTTTTTTAATTTTTATTATTTTGTGTGCATTTACCTTCAAATCAGATCTGACTGCTCCAGGAGGATATATTTCGCCTCCTTCTCCGGCAGAGCATCTGGTCGACTCAAACCGTGCACCTCTGGGATTGCAGTGCAGCTTCTTGCCACTAGGCCACCAGAGCTCCCCCCAGTTTATTATTAGTATTAAATTTGATATTCGGCTTCCCACACTTATGAATGCTAGCAGTGTGGGAAAACATTTTCCCAACGAAATAGCCTCACATAGTACTGTTCAAACAGGTGAGAGACCTTATGAATGTCAGGAATGTGGGAAAACATTTTGACATTCAAAGCGTCTCACCGTACGTAGAGGAATTCACCCAGGAGAGAGACCTTATGAATATAAGGAGTATGTGACAACCATTTCAGCGGCAGTGTACCTCACCAAACATACTAAGATTCAGAGAGGTGACTGACCTTAAGAATGTAAGGAATAGAGAAATCAGTTTCTCACTTTCCGCCTAAAAATATCATACAGGGGAAAGACCTTCTGAATGTAAGGAATGTGGTAAAGGAGTTTGACAATGTGTTCCACTCATTAACCATGGAAGAATTCACCCTGGAGAGAGATCGTACGGCCATCACAAATGTAGAGAAACCTTTTCACAATTAAGACACGTCAGTACATATAAAAATTCACACAAGAGAGAGAACTTAGGAATGGAGGGAATCCTTTTGTGACCCTGGTACACAAACTATCCCTGAAGAGTTCTCCCAGATAGACCATCTGCATATAAGGAATGTGGGGCCACCTTTCCACAATCAGATGGCATCAGGACATGCAAGCATTCACACAGCACAATACTCATACGAGCAACGTAGGACCTAGTTGATCCGTCTGTCCTGCCTGGACATATTTACACTAACCCTGCAGAATCCTCCACCCTCACGGGACACCCGAGAACTTCGACTAGATAGACAGACGAAAAAAACAATTAGGAAGGAATTAGTCTTCCTCATCATGTAGGAGAACTGTTGTTCTGTCTTGCAAAGTGAGATACTTGCAGAGGTTTTACGATTATATTTTTTTTTTCTTTACATGCGTGTGGGAATCCTTCAGTGATGGTGAAAGCTGGGTCTGTTTTTGTACCATTGTAACAAACTGATCATTGTATTTGCCAATGTGGACTTTTGCACTCAATTTTTATGGGTTTCTTTTTCCAAGGTAAAATTTTTCTTTGTTAAAGGTGTCATGTGTTTGACTCTTACCCAGAAAGATGCAGAAAATAGAAATGGGGAAATACTATTTATCAATATTCAGTTAGTGGTTGATATTTTCTATGCAATTAATAAAGATCTCACTTGTACAAGAGGCTTTGTTTCATGAATGGCTTTTCTTTTATCATCTCCCATGACAAAGTGAACTATTTTACTCTTCCATACATGATGGGTGTGCTAGTGTTCTGCTTGGTGTTATGTATTTATAGTTTCACAGCAGACCTGGTGTGGACGGTGTGTTCAGCATCCATCACTGACCTAGCCATGCTCCAAAACCACACTGTTCAAAAACTCATCCGTTTAGGAGATGGACAAGAAAGATGTTTGTTCACTGCCGATTAAGAGGGTAGCCTGTGCTGTAGCTAGCCCATCACCAGCAGTGCTCCCTCCAAAAATATCACTAATTAGAAAAATATTTAACTTGTCAGAGAACCAATAAGCAAAGTTCAGGTGTTGTCAGCAGATGAGGAATTCATTTCAACACCACCCCTTATCCCCCACGTATGCCATGGGCTCGTTAACTCACCTCTGTGGCTTCTCAACTCCTGGCTCTGGCTTCAAATCCCAAATCCCATGAACATGGATTTCTGCTGCTTCAGAAGATGACACACAGGCTCCTGTCCTGAGTGCAGTTGTGCTGCTTAAACGGTCTTGCGTTGAACCTGTGACTTCCACCCGTACCTGCCTCCTTGTCTTCCTTCCAGACCCCTGTGCATAGATGCAATCTCTTCAGGACATTTGAGTACCTGGGTTGGTCGTGTGTACCCCTCTGTGCACAGGTCAGTGGAATGTGTACATTAAGCGTGTTTGCTTATTTCCTTGTTGTACATCTGAGAGCTGGACGGTGACCAAGGATGGCCAAGCAATCATGCAAGACTTTTGAGTAGAGAACAGGGCTGTTGAGCGGTTGGTGAAATTGAGCTGTTCTTTTGTGGCAAGGATTTGAGGCTCTTCTCACATCCTTTGTGCGTGTAGCCAGGAAGGACCAGTCTTTCAATAAGCATATTAGGCTAGGAAGTGTGGAGGGACAGCGCTGGAGAGGAAGACCGCAGGCGAGATGGATTAACTCAGAGTCCCTGTTGATGGAGGTAGGTGTGTCAGTGACAATGAGATTGGCTCAGGACAGAGGAGGGTTCAGAGCTGTCACTCCTAGGGTCCTTAGGAGTGTACTTGTCCTGCGGACAATGTAGGTTCTTGAAATCTGTAGTTCCGTCTATGCACCTCCAGCCAAAAAGCTCACCCAATGGAAGGTCCCCTATTTTTTTGAGTAGGTGACAAAGGCTTGTATTTGTCGTGTACCCTAGAGTCAGAAGTGACTGATGGCTGACCCTGTCGCGGGTTTTCAGAAGCACTTAATCACATGGGAAGAGATTGCCCCTCCTTCTTCCGTGGTGCACCTGGACCATGACTCATCTTTGTCTCATGAATCAGATTCAAAATATCTGGCTGTGTATTGGCAGCTTAACTCCTCACTAGTTAGGCCACTGGTTTTCTCATCACTTAAGTCCCTAATTTTTATAGTAACATGGTATCATCCGTTGCTACTATCATGGAATGGTTTATGTAAAGATTCTTTTCATATTGAGATACTTGCATTATGTGAACCAAGTAGAAAAAGTCTTCACTTGATGATACCAGTTAAGTGATCCTTCGTTTTCTGCATCAATCCTCTGTCCTCAGCATCTTAGAACTCACACTAGTGAGGTGTGGATTCTTCACCATACCCTTAGCAGAGCCACAGCTGAGATCAGAGTCAAGATTGGACTGAGCACCCTCTGTAAACAGAGAATTCCACCCAGCCCCCTGGAGGAGATCCTGGATGCCCTTTGCACACAGAAATCTGTCCAACCACCCACCGGAGGGGATGCCCTGTGTGAACATTGGTCTTTGTTTAAACACTACGTTTACCCATGAACATGTTGGCAACACTTAAGTATAAGGAAAGTAGAGGCTCTGGTGATTTACGATGATTGGCTTAAATGAAATAAAAACCGTAGGAATACTAAGAGCGGGGCCTTTCACGGTGCCAAGCTGTGAGAGGACCTGTGTTTCAGCTGCCCCTCTTTCAGAATTAATTTCCTCGTGTCCTTGCTTTTGTTCTGCTTCAGGTATGAAACATCTGGTGCCTGAACAGGAATCTTAAAGAAGTGGCAGAGTCTCTCTCTCTCTCTCTTCCCCCCACCCCCCGTCTCCTTCTCTCTCTCTGCTTCTCTCTATCTCCTTCTCTCTCTCTGTCTCCTTCTCTCTGCTTCTCTCTCTCTCTTTCTCTCTTTGTCTCCTTCTCTCTCTCTGCTTCTCTGTCTCTTCTCCCTCTGTCTCCTTCTCTCTCTCTGCTTCTCTGTCTCTGTCTCCTTCTCTCTCTCTCTCTCTCTCTCCTTCTCTCTCTCTGCTTCTCTCTGTCTCCTTCTCTCTCTCTCCTCTGTCTCTCATTATGAGGATTCCCTCACCCCTTGAAGGATAAAGTCAAGGGAAGAATTATCCAGAAATGTCATGGGACTTACCCAACCTCTGAAGTAAATTGGTTTAAAAAGCTCAGAGGAAGAAGTGAAAAAAGAGCCATTCTCTGAAGTTCAATAAATTTCTCTCTTAAAGGAGCTGCTTAAGAGCTCTGGGGTATGCAGTTTTGTAAATGAGTTAAAAAATATTGTTCCTGGTTTCAATGAGTTGGTCGATCTCAATTGGATTTAAAACTTGGTGTAATGTTATGAGAGATTTACGAAGAGCACATGAAAAAGAAGAAATTCCTATTGCTTTTCTGCCAGAATTGGCTTTCATGAGGTTAGGATGTCCATGCAGGATTTTACACGTAATCAGCCAATGTTTCAAAGAGAGTGGCTGAATCATTGCATGAATATGAATTAAGTGATATTATATTAGACAAGGTTAACGCGGAAGGCAACAAACAGCCTTTGTCACCTTTAGAAAGAACTTTAGCAAGACTCAACCCTGACTTAACTATTTTCTCTTAATTGACATACATTGACCCAAATAGTGATCTTCCTGGTAAATTATGTACAATTTAAACTGTGGTTTAGAAAAGAAAAGTGCTAAATCTCAAAGCAGAAGCCTATAAGTATTTTTCTTGATTGTTTAGTGTTTTTTTTGTTTAAGTTTGTTGTTCTTTCTTTGTTTTCTGTCTTAAGTTTAATGTGATACTAGTTTTGAGCTCACATAATCTGAAAATTTCGGGTAGGTAAGTAAAAAACGTAGAACTGAAGGTTACATGAAAGAAAACTCTTAATTTACAAGATTTTTAAAAAGGTACAAGTAACAGGGTGAAAATATCTGCATAGATAATGTGATCTAATAGTTTAGAAACAGGTAAGGAAGAAAATGTTTGTTCCCAGAGTAAATGTAAAGAACAAAAATTGTAAAAAATGTGTCATAAAATTCAGATACTCTTGACTGGCTACCTGTAAAATCCAAAATGTTAAGACTTCCCAAAGTGATTAAGAAACACCATTTTTTCCCAGGCATAAGTGTTCAGGTTCATTATAATAGAGAGAATCCACGTAAAATAGGCACAGGGCAAAGCAGTGTCCCGTAGCAAGAAAGAAACTAAAAGAGAGAGAGAGAGAGAGAGAGAGAGAGAGAGAATAATGCCTTGTACAAGTTTGCTTGAATATTGTAAAATGTTAATTATATCAGTCAATAGTAATTAATACCTGTGTGACTAATTGGAAAACCCATGAGATTTTTTGAGCTTTTAAATGAAGAAGGCCTACAAATGAAATGAGTATTGACAATCTTCAAATATTCCAAACCAAAATTATGAAACCAAATAAGGCACTGTTTAGTACTCTGTTGACATATGAAAACCAGCCCCATTACTGTCACATGGGTATTAAGCAATAGGAATCCTCTTCCATAGACATCCCAAGCCACATACTGAAAAGTGACTGTTGTAACATTTTGTCAAACTTCAGCTTTTGAGGTTGAACCACACGGTATTTCACTAAAGTAATACCAATTGCCTGACTAGTAGATTTACTACTAGTGTTCCTGTATGACATGTTGTAAGTTACCCCTGCCTTTTAAGCCTTTTTCCTCCTACTTTTTATTTGCAACCTGAGTCTTGTGTGTGACACCGTCTCTTGTCCCCAGCATGACTGTATCTGGGTCACCACTGTATCTGGCCGACTTTCGCATGAATCCTGGCAACATGCCCAAAGTATATGAGACGGAGCCTCAAAATGCTCCTCTCAAAAAAAAAATTAAAAAAAAACAAAAAAACAACTCTCCAAGACAGACCTGTTTGTTCTATCGCAATACTCTTCTCCACAACGCAAAGACATCAGTTCTTCTTGCATCCGTGTTCACTGTCCAGCTCTGTGGTGCATAAGAAGTAATTGCAAAGATCATGGCCTGGAT